CAAGGTGTCGCCAGGTTCCCCAGGGGACCGTGGCGACGACCGTCGCCTCGGACTGGCTCGCAAACGAGCTGGCCGAGTATGGAGAGATTGATGCGGCATGCCGCGACAGATTTGTGATGCACCTGATGACGGCCGCCGGCGCCTCGGCGCCGGCCGACGCCGTGTTCAGGTTCACAGCCGGCGAGGCGATGCAGACCTCTTGTTGAGAGAGGTCTCCTTTCAGCAGCCTATATAGCGCCCGCCGGTTTTACGACGGAGCCTCCGCGGCCACGATACCCAGCCCCACGGCCCAACGAAAGCCCTCTCGTCTTCCGCGATTCGTCATAGTGAGGGTGTGGCGACTTCCGTGAGCTTCGTCTCCTTGGCGGCGAAACGGGGAGGTAGGGGCGTGGAATGGTGCGCCTCGCGCCCGGCGTTGCCGCCGCCGCTGCCTCACCGGCGACTCAACGACCTCTCACCCGGCTGACGCCACTGCCTTCTGTACGCCTTCTCCGTTGACTGATTGCGAGAGAGGCTACCGGCAGGCCTGCCCCGCTGCCCAAAGCGCCGTTTCGCGTGCATGGAAATCCTGTTGCGCTCGGCACGTTTCTGAGCTCTATCGGCGCTCCGGGCGCCCGGTCATCTGCAGGTGAATGCTCAGCCAGACGCTCACCTACACATTCACGGACGGCAAATGCGCCATTCTCGTCGACTCGCGCCAGCTAGAGCGCGGGCCGGCCTGTGGTTCGTGGGTGGAGGGTGGTGAAAGGTGAGGGCCGAAATGTATTGCTATTGGCAGGTGTTTGGTCGTTGCGCGCTCATCCTCGTGAAGCCAACGATAAGGGGCTCCAGGCCGTCAGACGGGAAGAGCTCCCAGACAGGACGTGGTACCATGAGACCTCGGTTTGTGTCGACGAGGGATCAGGGTCGAGTCTCGAACGTCTCGGGTGTGCCACTGACGAGCCGTACCGGAGGTGTGCACTCAAGTGGCGCCACCGCCCCAGACGCAGAGCCTGTGGGCTGGTGGTGGTGCGCTCCTGTACCTACCCACGGCGGCTTTACTTTTATGGCGGCCCCCCAGTCGCACCGTCGGACCCCGCGCGCGGGCGGGGCCGCAAAACTATTTTCGTGGGTCAAGTACCTCAGTGCTCAGTTCAGTGTGCCCCGCAGTAGTAAGTATATGAACAAAAAGGAGAACCTCCAGAGCGAGAGAGACAGAGAGCGAGGGAGGGGGGTCCCACCGAGAGACAGACGCAGAGCTGCAGAACACACCCATCATGGGAAGAGCAGTCTCGCTCCAGAGCGAGCAAGAGACTCAGTCGGATAGATTGTGCGGCGCCGGGTTACGGCCGCGCAAGTGATGCGATAGGTCCAGACGCGCACACGCCAGAGGCTACTGCCCCGGGGAGCCGCCTCGA